TAACAACCTGACATGCTACTGGCTAAAGTACTGAAAGTCATACCAGATGGAGAGCAAATCTAGATGCAATGCGACAAATCCAAAGCGGAAACCTGGATCAGCAGCAGTGGTGGAAATTTTTTCAAGATTGCGAAAAGATAAATTGAATACCCTAAAGAACGCACAAGTACACCTCAAATCATCAATAAAAGAAAGAAGATTTTTGATGTATTTGTTGCAGATGAAATCCAATATGGGCAGAAGAACTGAGAGAAGGTTGGCCACAATTTTCAAGGATGCTGGGTATGTTTCAAGAAGGAGGACGACCAAAACACTGATGGTGAGGCCGAACAGATTGTTATGTACAACAAACCAACTTCACACAAAGAACTATGCTGGATATAATTGGCAAAGACAGAAAATGTTGGAATATGCCTAGAAAACGTCACTATGCCAACCGATTGCGCAAAAGAAAATGTGTTCGTTGTGCAAAGAAGGTACATCATGAGAAAAAAAGCTAATGTTAAATTGACCGAAAACAATAGCTCCATAGCTCTATCTCCACTACAGAGGAAATAATAGCCCAGCCCACCTTGAAAAGGTCGAATAGCTCAGTTCCAGAAGTTCTAGAAGCCCCAACACTTCAAAAGTTGCCAATGAAGACAATTATGACTATAAGGCATCATCTCAGTGAACAATGGTTGAGAAGGACGTGGACATACTATTTGACAGCGGAGCTAGGGATATCATGATGAGTAAGTACTGGTTTCCTGAATTAGTATCCACCAAGTCCCATAAGGTTTAGGGATTGGAGGTGTTTGAATATGCTGGAAGAACCAGTTGAATGCAGGATTCTAATCAGTTCAACTTGGAGACAAAGCAATCTGGTCTGAAACCACTGCCAATTCCTGACAGGAGAATTTTGATTTTTGGGCAGAGACTTTTTGCCAAACATTTTGGACCACTGAATTTGACTGGACAAATCAGAGAGTGAGAATAGGAGAAGACTGGGTTATTCATGGTCACCGAAGATCATACCAAGTTATCACCATATCATCACAGATGTAAGATTGGTCAAGACTGCGCTGAAAATCAGAAAGAAACGGCATCAAATTGATGTTAGAAGATTTTTATGCCAAGTTTTTTGTCAAAAACAGCAAAGCTCCAAAGTGTGCACTCACTGAGAACTTCATCGTAATCATTAGTAGAGAACGACCCGTGTATGGTCCAAGCCAAGGTACTAAGAATTCCTGACAAATTGGAAAAATGAAGTTAATCAACAAGTGATTGAGATGTTAAATAAATGGAATTAAAAATCCGCCCTTCTAAATCTGCCATACAATTAGTAAACCCTCTTCTCGCACTAACAGACAATACAAACGATTGGATCATAGATTTCCGTAATATGAATAAAATAACGATCCCAAGATTCCTTAACCCCGACATAACCCCTCCTTACGAGAATGATATGATTGATGCTTGTTTGAACTGCAACTACTTTATCCCAACTAGCCTTCGCTTCAGTTACTGGTGTTTGGAGGTAAACCTGAAGATGAATACAAAGAAAAACTTTCATTCACGTGCCTAATGTAAATTAATAATGTCAAACGTATGCCTATTGGACTTAAAAAAAGTAGCCAAAGCAACTTTCGCAAAGGAAAATGGATAAAAAGATCAATGATCTAAAAGAAAGAGATATTGATGGATTGGAGCATTTAGTGATAATGTTTCATATTTTCAGAAACGTTCTCGAAGAAACACCTCTATGCACTAACTGCAGTGTTAGAAAGGTAGAGAGGTTCAACCTGTCATTGAAACCCGAGAAGTGTGAATTTGATTCAAAGAAATAGACGTCCTAGTATTTTCATAATCAACACATGAAGTGTTACCCAGAAAAACAATGTTCAAAAGTTGATTGACATCCCGATCCCTCCAACTAAAAAGCAGGTTTTCAAAGACTTTTCTGAATGGTAACTCAACAGACGCTTTTGTCCCCAAATATTGCAGATATAACAAAACCTTTAAACCATGATTCTATCAGATAAAGAGAATTTGACTGGGGTATAAGCAGCAACAAGCTCTAGATCAATTGAAAGACATCTCAAAAAGCACCAGCACTAGGGTTACCAGATTTCTCAAAATGTTTCATCTTACTTCATCAGAATGCATCAGAAATCCAGGTGGGAGGAGTCTTGTTTCAGAAAGATGATAAAGGCCGGATACACGCAAGGAAGTCATTCCCAAAACCCTACAGAAATGTCAGAGAAACTGGAAGGTAACAGAATAGGAAGCAATTGCTATCAAAGAGTGCACAAGAAAGTGGATGTGTATTGCCAGCAAAAGAAAATATTTATTTATCTGACCACGAGCCGTTTGAAATTCATCCGTAATCACCAAGACAACAGAGAAAGATGTTAATGGTTTGATAGAGCTTGAATCTATTGATTACACATTGAGTACTTCAAAGGAGAAGATAACGAAGATTTCTGATGCCTAAGTAAGAGTAGAAATCAGAGAAAAATCCGTACGCACAGAAGCGGAGAGACGAGTATATCTATCATACTGCTGATAAAACTGACTCCAAAATACTGTGATATTTGAAAAGATTAAAAAAGTTTCAAAAGGAGGGAAAAATCACTGCTGAGCCGATTTGTATGAAAAAGCTTGAAGAACGGACCTGTTAATTTATGTTCTTTTGTTCTTCAAGCTCATTTCACTACTACTCGCAGTGCTTTAACCTCCTTTTGAAACTTTTATAATCTTTCAATATCAAACAGTAATTTTGAGTCATTTTTATCATCAGTATGAATAGATATACTCGTCTCCATCCGCTTCAGTGCTTCTACAGGATTTTTCTCTGATTCTACTCTACTTAGGGCATCAGCAATCACGTTATCTTCCTCGTTTGATGTACTCAATAGTGTAATCAATTGATTTCAAGCTCAACACCCACTAACAATCTTTCCTCTGTTGTCATGGTGATTACGGATGAATATCAACGGCTCGAGGTCAGTAATAAATAATACTTGCCTGAGCAATACACATCCACTTTCTTGGCACTCTTGATAGCAAAATAGCTCCATTCTGTTACCTGCCAGTTTCTCTGACATTTCCTGTATGTTTTGGAATGACATCCTAGCGTGATATTCCGGCCTTTATCATCTTCTGAAACAAGACTCCTCCCACTGAGATTTCTGATGCATCTGATAGAATGTAGAAACATTTTGAGAAATCTGGTAACCCAAGTGCTGGTGCTTTGAGGTGAGACTGTCCTATCAATTATCAGAGCGTGTTTCTGCTTATTACCCCAGACAAACTTCTCTTTATCTGATAGAATCATGGTTAAAGGTTTTTGTTATCTCGCATATTTGGGACAAAACGTCTGTTGAAGTTATCAATACCTAAAAGTCTTTGAAACCTTCTTTTTATTTGAGGGATCGGGAAGTCCAATCAACCTTTTGAACCATTGTCTTTCTGGGTAACACTTCATTGTGTCCTGATATGAAATCCTAGGAAGTCTATTTCTTTGAATCCAAATTCAACACTTCTCCGGTTCAATGACAGGTTGTACCTCGCTACCTCGTTCTAACACTGCAGTTAGTGCATAGAGGTGACTCCCAACGCAATTAAGGAATATCCAAAATATTACCAAAATGCAGGGGAGTACAAAAAATGAGAAAGAATGTACAAACCAGTGGGAGCGTCTATCTCTGCTCCGCGGTCCAGTAGCAGCTTAGCAACGGTCACGTGACCTTGACTACAAGCTTCCAACAAGGGCGTGTTCCCTGCGTATTAATATTTTAACATTATCCTTCACGATACTTAAAGTAAACCTAAAGTATCGTGTAATAGTATTATATAGTATATAGTATATAGTATAGTATAGTATTACGGTGTACAACTCTGATTCCCTATACTATAATCGGATAGCTATTTAAAAATAAAATGTCTTAACAGTTGATCGAATTAACTAAATTACGTTTTTCAACAAATAATTTTCACAGTTAGTTCTTATAAAAACTGAAAAACACAGGATAAGATCGTACCTGTGCTATTTCTATGATTCACACTGGCCCCACTTTCCAGCAACAGCTCCACAATATCTTGTTTTCCTTGTCGACAAGCTAGCGACAACATTTCATCAATCGACACCTGAAATATTGGAAAACCTGTTTTTTGATGATCAACGACTGGCAATAAAAAAATTAAGAAATATGGTATGTACATAACCTTTGTTCAAGATTTTCATTAATGCCATGGAATTTTTCATCGAATTATATCTTTGGCATCATTTGGGGGGGGGGGGGGAGGTCGGGTCCTTCGTTCATCACAATAGTGGTCTCCTGGATCTTCAGCATGTATTATATAGTGAACTGTATTATATAGTGAACTGTATTATATAGTGAACTGTATTATATAATGAACTGTATTATATAGTGAACTGTATTATATAGTGAACTGTATTATATAGTGAACTGTATTATATAATGAACTGTATTATATAGTGAACTGATCAGAGATTGCGTCTGCCACCACGAAAAAACGGATAGAATTCTTGTTATGTTTAACCTATTTCCTATATAATATATATGCCAGGATTTAACTGCAGTGTATCAAGTGTCTACTACAGTTGTCACAAGACCTTCCTAGCTGGGGTGCTATTTTAGTTTCCACTGTGCCAAAAACAGTTTTTTCGTGAAAAACTTTTTGAATTTTGATAATTTTGAAAATGTTTCATGATCGATAAAAATTACTTTATAAAAGAGCAACATGTCATAGCGCTACAATTCATTATTCTATTTGACACTGACGATTGGTATTGTTTTATACATATCATGAAACGGATCGTTTGCCCGCCAATTAGATTTGTTCTGGATCGATTCCCGCCATCAGCAAAACCAACCCTGATGATTTGAGCCATACTGATGAGTCCTAATAGGACGAAACACTGTGTCTATGGATATATATATATATATATAATATATTACAGTTTTAATACTTTCAACACTACTATGCTATATAACAAATAATTTGAGAATTGATGTAAATAAATGATGCAAAGACTTACGAAGATCTAATCACAACCGCTTTCTTTTATTGTGTAAAAGTCCAGCCAATGAAATATACATATATATATTATATAATGATTAGTTGTTACTTGGATTCCCAAAGAGTGCTCAACTGCAATCAAGCAGGAGGATTATATTTCAAACAAAGGGAAACACTCAAACTGGCGCGGCGGGCAAACGATCCGTTTCATGATATTATGTAGAAAACAATACCAATCTTCAGTACCAAATAAGAATAATGAATTTTAGAGGTATGATATATATCATACCTCTAAAATTCATTATTCTTACATATCGATATGTTGCTCCCCTATAAAAAATACTTTTTATCGATTTAAATTATGGTCAAGTGACAGGATAAAAACATTTTCAAAATTTAATGAGGTCTGATCGTCATCTTTTTACAGCGTTCGATATCTGTGTGAAGGTGAAATGGTGACATCCTCTGGATCAGGCAGAGGTCGAGTGTTATCGGGATTGCAATTTATTATCGGGATTACAATTTATTATCGGAGAAAAAGACGATTTATGAAGGAGCAACCTTACATTCTACCTATTTTCAAAATTTGCAAAAACTTCAAAACATTGTTCTCGTCCAAATTTTAGAATTGTCTGTGAAGTAGGATATATATACAATTAATAGTTAATAATAGTTATAGTAATATAGTACTGTGTTTACAGTACACTACAATGTAGATGTACTGAAGTAAAGGGGTATTCTAAAGGGGTATTCTAAAGGGGTATTCTAAAGGGGTATTCTAAAGAGGTATTCTAATGGGGAATTCTAAAGGGGTATTCTGAAGGGGTATTCTAAAGGGGTATTCTAAAGGGGTATTCTAAAGGGGTATTCTAAAGGGGTATCCTAAAGGGGTATTCTAAAGGGGTATTCTAAAGGGGTATTCTAAAGGGGTATTCTAAAGGGGTATTCTAAAGGGGTATTCTAAAGGGGTATTCTAAAGGGGTATTCTAAAGGGGTATTCTAAAGGGGTATTCTAAAGGGGTATTCTAAAGGGGTATTCTAAAGGGGTATTCTAAAGGGGTATTCTAAAGGGGTATTCTAAAGGGGTATTCTAAAGGGGTATTCTAAAGGGGTATTCTAAAGGGGTATTCTAAAGGGGTATTCTAAAGGGGTATTCTAAAGGGGTATTCTAAAGGGGTATTCTAAAGGGGTATTCTAAAGGGGTATTCTAAAGGGGTATTCTAAAGGGGTATTCTAAAGGGGTATTCTAAAGGGGTATTCTAAAGGGGTATTCTAAAGGGGTATTCTAAAGGGGTATTCTAAAGGGGTATTCTAAAGGGGTATTCTAAAGGGGTATTCTAAAGGGGTATTCTAAGAAGATTCTTCATCTTTTAGCAGGTACCCCTCCTCATTTAACCCTCAATCAAGTTTTCTATCATTCGGCTGAGCCGACCGAGGAGATCGCATAGATCTAATGGATCCTTAGTTACTCTCTAGACTAGGTGAAACAGGGATTTTAACCCTAATAATATAAACCTTCTACGCAGAAGGCGGATGCTTTAACCCCTAGGCTACCTTGTCTTGTAAATGGGTGGGCGACAATTGACCCCCCAACCCTGACCCTGATTTCACGACAATTGTAATTACATAGGGGGTCAATTGATGGGGGGGGGGGGGGGGGGGGGACAATTGTCAACAAACATATTAGTGGCGTAACAAAGGGCCCTGCTTACCCAGCTGTGCACCACCTACCCAGCTGTGCACCACCTACCCAGTGTGCACCACCTAAGGGGGGGGGGGGGGGGGCTGTGCACTACCTAAGGGGGGCGCCACCTACCCAGCTGTGCACCACCTACCCAGCTGTGCACCACCTACCCAGCTGTGCACCACCTAAGGGGGGGGGGGGGGGCTGTGCACTACCTAAGGGGGGCGCCAAATCGTCGTTTTAATGTGGGACAATTTAGAAAAACTTAACTTAAAAGAAATAACAAAATTGCACGTTTTGCTCTAGAAACACACTGTTTTAGAGATTTTACCGGCATATCCTCTAAAATCACCTGATTTGTCCAATTTTAAAGTACCATTGTATTTGTACTTTAACTTTTAAGAGGGGGAACGGAGGGTGCGCCAAAGGAGGGGCGCTGTGAGCGCTGGGGAGCATTGTTACTGTGTGCGCCAAAGGAGGGGCGCTGTGAGCACAGGGGAGCATTGTTACTGTGTACGCCAAAGGAGGGGCACTGGGAGCATTGTTACTGCGTGGAGCAGAACACTCCAACAACTGGCACCATTTCAAGTACACATTTAGAAGTGACAGTTATTAATCATTCAGCTTGTAGCAGTTATTAATCAAATTCGTTAATCGCTGTTGTTTAAAAAAATAAACTACAGTAAAACCCTGATTTACTGTACAGTTTAGGGGAAGGTTGAAAATAGTATATTTGCATGGTTAATCAGGGTTTTGACTTTTGACTCTGCACAGAATTGGCTCCCAATTAATAGTGGTTACAGTTCATGAGCACTCAGGTAGGGGGTACTTAGGGGAAGCAATAATGGCCTAAGCGTTTTGGTCCCTCATTCCTGCCACTCAGCATTGCCTACTGTTAAGTAGACATTTTTCTAAGACAATAGAGAAACTGACCCTGTCTCATTAAATTCAACCACTTGCCATAATAAAAATACTAAAATTCAAATAAAGTTTAATAAATAATTATATACAATCACCAAAGAATATTTCCTCAAGTTTATTTCTAGTTAACTTAATTTGTGGTTTAACTTTGGGGGAAGGGGAGAGAATGGTGAATCAGCGTTTTACTGGACGTTATTACCTCACCAGGTTAATAAAATGTATTGTAATGGTGTTTGTGATAGCTTAGGTTTGTAATATATTTACCTCTGTGTGTATTGTAATGGTGTTTGTGATAGGTTTGTAATATATTTACCTCTGTGTGTATTGTAATGGTGTTTGTGATAGGTTTGTAATATATTTACCTCTGTGTGTATTGTAATGGTGTTTGTGATAGGTTTGTAATATATTTACCTCTGTGTGTATTGTAATGGTGTTTGTACTTTGTGATAGGTTTGTAATATATTTACCTCTGTGTTTGTGATAGGTTTGTAATATATTTACCTCTGTGTTTGTGATAGGTTTGTAATATATTTACCTCTGTGTGTATTGTAATGGTGTTTGTACTTTGTGATAGGTTTGTAATATATTTACCTCTGTGTTTGTGATAGGTTTGTAATATATTTACCTCTGTGTGTATTGTAATGGTGTTTGTACTTTGTGATAGGTTTGTAATATATTTACCTCTGTGTAATGGTGTTTGTGATTTACCTCTGTGTGTATTGTAATGGTGTTTGTACTTTGTGATAGGTTTGTAATATATTTACCTCTGTGTTTGTGATAGGTTTGTAATATATTTACCTCTGTGTGTATTGTAATGGTGTTTGTGATAGGTTTGTAATATATTTACCTCTGTGTGTATTGTAATGGTGTTTGTACTTTGTGATAGGTTTGTAATATATTTACCTCTGTGTTTGTGATAGGTTTGTAATATATTTACCTCTGTGTGTATTGTAATGGTGTTTGTACTTTGTGATAGGTTTGTAATATATTTACCTCTGTGTTTGTGATAGGTTTGTAATATATTTACCTCTGTGTGTATTGTAATGGTGTTTGTACTTTGTGATAGGTTTGTAATATATTTACCTCTGTGTTTGTGATAGGTTTGTAATATATTTACCTCTGTGTGTATTGTAATGGTGTTTGTACTTTGTGATAGGTTTGTAATATATTTACCTCTGTGTTTGTGATAGGTTTGTAATATATTTACCTCTGTGTGTATTGTAATGGTGTTTGTACTTTGTGATAGGTTTGTAATTATATTTACCTCTGTGTAATGGTGTTTGTGATTTACCTCTGTGTGTATTGTAATGGTGTTTGTAATAGGTTTGTAATATATTTACCTCTGTGTTTGTGATAGGTTTGTAATATATTTACCTCTGTGTGTATTGTAATGGTGTTTGTGATAGGTTTGTAATATATTTACCTCTGTGTGTATTGTAATGGTGTTTGTGATAGGTTTGTAATATATTTACCTCTGTGTGTATTGTAATGGTGTTTGTGATAGGTTTGTAATATATTTACCTCTGTGTTTGTGATAGGTTTGTAATATATTTACCTCTGTGTGTATTGTAATGGTGTTTGTGATAGGTTTGTAATATATTTACCTCTGTGTTTGTGATAGGTTTGTAATATATTTACCTCTGTGTGTATTGTAATGGTGTTTGTGATAGGTTTGTAATATATTTACCTCTGTGTTTGTGATAGGTTTGTAATATATTTACCTCTGTGTTTGTGATAGGTTTGTAATATATTTACCTCTGTGTGTATTGTAATGGTGTTTGTGATAGGTTTGTAATATATTTACCTCTGTGTTTGTGATAGGTTTGTAATATATTTACCTCTGTGTGTATTGTAATGGTTTTTGTGATAGGTTTGTAATATATTTACCTCTGTGTGTATTGTAATGGTTTTTGTGATAGGTTTGTAATATATTTACCTCTGTGTTTGTGATAGGTTTGTAATATATTTACTTCTGTGTAATGGTGTTTTTGATTTACCTCATTGTGTATTCTAATGGTGTTTGTACTTTGTGATAGGTTTGTAATATATTTACCTCTGTGTTTGTGATAGGTTTGTAATATATTTACCTCTGTGTTTGTGATAGCCGATAGGTTTGTAATATATTTACCTCTGTGTCATGAACAACAACTTCTCCTTCATCTCCAGATTCTGTCATATTTCTTATCAATCTTTTATAAACATTTTGTACATAACCTTACTGAATGGAGATAGTTTAAGGTATTTCAATTGGAATATTCGAACTCTATGAAATAAGAGTTAGAATTAGTATCAAACTTTACAGCAATTAACACAAATACAAGGAGATCAGGAAAAGCCCCTGTTCAATTGAGTTCACGTCACCCTCTGGTAATGGATTAGTGACAA